TTATATGTAAGTGCCGTTTGACTATATTTTATAATGAAATCTCTATATTCTTCATATTTTTTTTCTCCTTTTGAGGGACATAATTTTTTTTTTAATTTTCATATCAATTATTTTCTTTTAAACCATATTTAATGTCTGCCACGAGTACATTCTAGTTTTGTAAAATATGACCCAATTAAAACATTTATAAAGGGCTTGTTTGCCAAGTATACCCACTCACCCAGACACGGAGACACCTACTTTGCAAAATTAACTCTTTCCCTAAAAGCCCTAATTCATCACTCCATGACAATTTACATTGCATATAATCTAATACAAAGTATAGAAATATTACGTCATTCTATTAATTTCCAACGTGGAAATAACGTGTAAAACCAAATTATAGAGATAGTTTCATTACAGTATAAATGGGTTGAATATATATATAATGCATGTCGAATTAGGTATCTAGATGGAGTTAGGTTGTTTGTGTTGACCCACAAAGGGTCCGGATGTGTGGGTCAAGTAATAATGGGTCAACTAATTCTAACATATCAAATCAAGTCGGATTAAGCTTAATTATATTCGGGTCAAAATTGGGTTTGAGTATGATTGGGTACATATCGAATTTGGGTCTGTCAACTTTAGGTCAAGCCATATCGAGTTCCAGTGAGCTCGAATTTGGATTTAGTCAGATTTATTGGATCAAAATGAATTAAATATACTTTTGATCAGATCATTTCGAATTTTATTGGTTAAATCTCATTTTAAATCAATTTAGTTTCATTTAAAATTTGATGTTGGTTACGGTATTTTTATTATTAGCTAAATCTTAGTTCAAATCATTTTGTTTAAATTTTGAGATTATTAGTGAATTTATACCCTCTATTTTGCAGTGATCGTCACATTTTATTTTATGATCTTATAAGATAATTGATCACAATTCTGTTTATTTCATTTACCATAATAGTTCCCAGTTTAATTGGGTCGTGGGTAATTCCGAGTCAGATAAATAAAGGTTGGGTAAAATGAGATATTTTTCAAGTATAATTGGTTTCGGGTAGATTTTATTTTGGATTAGATCGAATTCATATCTTAAATTATCGCGTTTTACTGATTTTGGATAAATAATCTATCAATTGATACCAGGTTGGGTTTGAATAGTAAATTACCGGACAAAGTCGATTTCAAGTTAACTTCGGGTTGATTCATATTGATCCGGATAAAAGATCCTCAGGTCCAACCAGTTCGAAAATAGTTCGGTTTTAGTAAATCTTTTGGGTCCGGTAAATTTTTGACACCCCTAATTAAAGCTTGTGAACTTGGTTGTATCGTCAAATCTGCTGAAGATTGACCCTTTTATTTATTTTTTAAATTACTTAGTTTTTAAATTACTTAGTGCAGGAGCATCGCTTTTGAAGTCAATTCCACCACAAAATGTACACGACTTATCTTGTACAGTTGCTAGACAAAATTTTATTCCGCTCCCTTTTTAATCATTTGACACAAATTAAAAATCTTAATTTTTATAGATCTATAGTAAATTTACTTGAATTTGTTATTGGTGTTTTCTAGATTAAAATTCTTACATGCACTTGAGTATATCTAAAATTAAGTAATACACCTTGTACTGTACTACTGTGTAGTAGTTTCAGACTTTATGTATTTTTATAGGTTCGCAAGCAAGTGTCACGTGGACGTATGGAGGTCTTCGAGTATATACTCAGCTGTTACCTGCCTATATGTTCATTATATTTTTGGCTGTATGACCACTCATACAGAAAAACATGTGAATTTAGATTCTCAAATTATATATGTAAAATCAACAAAATAATTATAAAATTCGGACAAATTAACCATCTTTATAGCTATCCTTTTTTTTTTTTTTTTTAGTAATGCATTAAAAGTAATGCACTAAAATATATAACTACAATATATATAATCATATTTTAGCTCAAAATCATAGATAATTTTAAATAGTTGAGACAAAGTTTCTAGAACATGTTCATACATAGATATATAATTTAATAGATACACATTATTTTGATGTTAACTTAACGATGAGCATGGATTATTTTAATTGGTTGACTTAAAAAGATGCTTGTAACGCTTATATGAATCCATTAGCATGAGAAAAGCTAAGGTTGGTTAATGGTTAGGTTGATATCCAATGACAACGTATCAAGGTCGAGAGCACCATCATAGCTTCAAAGAATAAAAGATGTATGTATATGTAGACAATATAGTGGTGGACAAAAATTGTTTTAGTGTCCAAAGTTGCTTCTTCTACTAGTCTTTGAATGGTGACCACCATCTTTTCTTGTTTCTTTGACTCACTTTTATACAAGAGCTTTTGAATTGTAATGTGGAGTAATAAATGGAATATAAATGTAATTAGTTTTAATAACGGTTATTATCAAAGGAACAAGTTCATGACCTTCATTCCTATCAATTGGTTTTTTAAAAGCATTCTTCAAAATGTTAAATTTATGGTTAAAATCTATATGTCTGATTGTTTATACTCTAGTAATAGCAATTACTAAATTTTATAATTATTAGTTTAACTACGCACGCACAATAATTTATTTCTAATGAAGACTCCCATTTTGGTCCCGAAAACATGCTTAAGTGTATATTAAGTGTATATTCCAAATGCATTACTTGGCTAAACTTTGCCTATACATATATGAAAAATATGAAGAAGAAATTTTTTTTTTTTAGAATAACGTATATCTTGTCACCCTAGCTAATAAATCATCCTTTGTTCCTTAGCAATTTTTAATGCTCATATTTTGAGCTTCAATCAATTTTTTCTATCATGCATGATAAAACAATTATACAAAAATGAGACTTTGAAACTATACATGTAAAATGATTATGACTATTAAAAATGCTATACATTTTAAAATGATTATGACCATTTCTAAGGATTCATGAATGTAAACTATTTTACATATTCATAATCATCATTTTTTTTTTTTTTTTTTTTTTACATTTCACGAATCATGTCACATCTAATTAATTAAACTTTCTCTTCCAAGTATTTTATCTACAAAACTATGGGATGAGTGTTTTGGTAGAAATTTTTAAACCACCAATCAACATGTCTACTACTTCTATTATATGTTTTGATATAAAGTTATACATTGTATATAGGTATATCAGGCCTTTAACTATTAATTTCACATACATAGTTATTTTTATTAGATTAGTGGTTTGAACACTCCTTTCTAAAAAATAAAAAGTCATATTATTATTTTGAAACAACAAATTATTGCCTTATTTTGACTTTACGTACTATTCATATACTATATGGACAAAATATTTATGATTTATACATACGAAAAATATAGTTATGTAAGATTTGTTAAAATCACCTCCATCAACACATAATATTAAGATAAAATATTATTTAATTTGTAATTTTTGTAAATTAAAGATATTATACATTAAACTTTCACATTAACATATGCACCCAATCTAAACTAGACACTTAAAATAAAAACATAGAGAGTACTTGTAATAGCTAATAGATCTCTCCTTCTAATTTGGTCAACTAATTAAGGTGGAAGTCCTCATAGGCTATTGAATTTGGTGCTCAATTTCCAACAGAGCTCATATGGGCTTTGTTCAACAAAGGCCCAACTCTAATATTTTTGGAACATAATTGAATTTGGTGTGGTTTGCCATTTCCAATTACTCCAACCCAACCTAATTGATCATATCTTTATAGGAGAGTGTTTAGACATGTATTTTTTATTTTTTGGGTGCAAATGAGCCACGAGGGATAAATACCAATTAAAATTTAAACTTACTTTCAATAACACCCTCATTAATCAAAATTGCACCAATACTTTTGAAACAAATTTGTTGTTACAATGAATTTACAATGAATTGAAAATGCTTTGTGATTCAACCTGCCTTAAAATTCTATCTAATTTAAAATCATACAACATTTACAATATATAAGGCTTACAAAATATTAGTTTAACAACTTTGCAAATGATAAATGTTGAAAATCATACAAAACGCGTTTCAAATATCACATTATTATAAAACTCCCAATCTAAGGGTTTGTTCACATTTACTGAAATGAACTGAACTGATTTGAGCTGAACTGAACTGAATTGAGCTGAAATGAATATTTTATGAGAGAGGAAAATTAGGAGCTGAACTGAACTGATTAGAGCTGAACTGAACTGATTGGAGCTGGACTGAACTAAACTAAACTGAATTGAAATTAAGTAAATGTGAACAGACCCTAAAGCTTCAATCTTGTTGTGAATAATTTTAAATAGAAGATTTTCTTGAATGAATGCACTTTGACAAATTCTTAGCTACTTATTATAGCTCATGAGCCACACATGATTTGTGATACAACATATGTGATACCCCTTGTTTTCATATTAACAAGTTACATATATCTTGTAAGTAGCTCATACTCCGCATATAGACCTGGTTATTGGGCGGGTCGGGTCAGGGTCGGTGCGGGTCGGTTGCGGGTCAGGGTCAAAGAGGGTCACATTTTATAGGGTCAATATAGGGTCGGGACAATGCGGGTCGCGGGTCGATAATGGGCGGGCCTACAAAATATCAATTAAAATAAATATTGGACAAAGCCATTATTAAATACATATGAATACAAATTAATCTATATAATTATTTTTACATTATGTATTTTCTTTATCAGCTAAATTGGAAAAACATGTTGGCCCTATATTGACCCCACCCAATAAGGGCCCAGTCCAATAATAGTCATGTTCATTAAAAGCCCTATAAGCTTGGCCCTGACTCTATTATCATTGGGCTACCCTGTACAATAACCACCTCTATCCGCATATTAAGATACGCCATAATTAAGCGTGTTTGGTTTAGAATAGTCAATAAAAGCTTAATTGTGTTATTTTGTTGGGGCATTTGTCAATCCTGGATGTGCATCTGATAGCTATCTTTGGTAGTCGGGGTGTTACAACCTATTCAGGTCAAATAAAACTAACCACTTGATCAACTTACAAGCTTTCTTCTCAAATCACGGTTTATAGTAAGACTAATGATCCAATACACAAAATGAACACAAAATAACATGTACAATTTGTTCAAAAGAAAGTCACCCAAAATAATAAATAAGCCAAATTAAATCTTATTATCAACCATCCTTGTGAATCTAAACTAATTAACATATTTACTTCAAGTTCTTGTTTGATCTTACAGGACCAGAGACCCCTTTAAAGCTCGGAGATTTCTGATGAGAAGAAGAATAATTACACCTGTTACTAACCTTGCTAAACCCACTACTAGTTGCCTCACTATTCATCGACGACATTGGTGAGAATAATTTATGCTTGTAAGGTGAATCACTGTCTGAATAAGCCTCAAAATGTAAAGGCCTTAGCCTCGGGGAGCTTGTTGATCGTGTTCTTGCCTTGGCAGATTCCGTTGCAGCCATATAAGTTGGAAGATTAATAGGAGAACTAGAATGTATGATGTCTTCACCATAGGAATTCTGTTTCTTATGCTTAGGGAATGATTTTCGAGGGGTGGATGTAATGTCCAAGTTATTCAGGTCATCTAAGTTCCTCAACTTACCTCTGATTTTTTCTTCTCTTTTCGATATTTCATCTCCGACATACTGCTCTAGCCAGTACCTAAGCCGGCCTTGAGAATTGCCATCTAGTACAGCATCTGCAGAATGCTGCAGAAAACAACTTTCTTCAGGAAAAAATACTTAAATACAGTATAAGTTAAACAAAAATAATTCGAAGTTTAATATGACTAGTACCCTGTGATTAAATGAGTATGCTTTGATCTTCTTGCTTCTCAAAATAGCCTCTTTCTTTCTAAGTATGATGTCAATTTCCTCTTCTTTTGTCATAAGTTCATCATCCAACCTTCTCAGCCTACATAATTGTATCTGCATTGTTTGTCACACCATTTATTAGTCATATTACAAGCTAGTTAAATCATGTACATATTCGAAGCCAATATTAATAGAGAGATCATTATAAAAATTAAAAAATAAAAAATAAAAAAACGTCAAAATACCAATTGATCCTACACAAATCTCCTCTTTCAAACTGCATTCATTTAGCACAAGGGGAAGCTTAAGGACTATTAAACCAATTGATCCTACACAATCTCCACTTTCGAAATGCTTTATTTAGAACAAGGGGAGCTTAAGGACTAAGACTGTGTGATACCAAGGAAACAACGAATTAGAATGTCAATTTCGTGTGCCCATAGGTTCCTTTAGAGAAACGTCTATCAATCCCAATTGATCTCACTAGTCATCCAACACTAGGAAACCGGATTAGTGAGGATAGCATAAATTTGGGACCGAATTAAACATATTCATTCCTTAATTAGTTCTCAGTTGTGAATGACTAATTCAAATTACATATCGCAATCAAGAGACAAATGACAAAGTTAAAATCAAACGTTAATATTGTGATACTTCAAAGTTCAAACTTATATCATTTGTTTACAAGTCATTTTTGACAACTTTTGTTGTATAACAAAACAAAATTTATGAACTACTAAATTGGATAGATATTGAATAAATACAATGCCAAAATGAAATATTATCAAATATGCAATTCATTTGGTCCCCAATATACTTGATATAATAATATTTTTATCTTCCCGAAAAAAGAAGAAATAGAAGTCAGGGTTGTAATAGCTAAAGCTATGCTTTTGGAAAGAAATGTAATATAACGTTGTTGCATAAATTTCTTGACTACTACTTCTTTGGTCCCCATATTTCTTTCGGTTTGACTTTAGCAAGATCAGAATTTCTATTTTTCTACTATTAATTTGGGCATCTTATTCTATAACCTGATTTTAAAATTAGGGTATTATTAGTATGACAAAAAGGCACCGCCATCTATTCCTAATACTATCATGACCACCGTAAGCACCACCTACAAATGCACCACCATAACCCATCATATAGTACCGCGAAATGCTCACTCGCACTAACCCCATCTAGGATTAATAGCGGCAATTAGGGGTGGTTCTGAGCATGTACATGGTGGTCGACTACACAGAGACCCCTGAGTGAAACTACTATAAAAGGGCCCCGGTTTTTTAATTTAGTAACATACTTTTCCTCAAAAAATTGGTTTGATCCAATTTAACAAAATTGTACCTGACCACTTTCAGTGTTAGCATTTATAACCCCGCCTCTGACGGCAGTAGTTGCAATAGGCATTTGGTAGTAGTACCATGAATTATGACACTACAATTATTGGTTGAGTTAGTCATGTTAATTAGCTTGTTAGGAATGAACAAACTTCAATCTACCTAAACTAATAGTTAGATTGCTTACTAAAAGCATACAAATACATCATTAATTGATTAGTTATTAAGTAATTATTCTTTTTAATACTCCTTACAGGTCTTTTAACTATGGTACGTGACCAATTTGGCCCATGTGCTCCCTACATACGTACACGCAACTATGCTAGCTAGCAAAGGAATAACAACCTTACACTAATCACAATCATCTACAAAGTAGGTTCGAAAGTCAATTTAACTAATAAGTTAAATCTTAGAAAACTAGAAATTTTACCTTTGGGTTCTCGTGACTATGATCTTGCAAATGCACATCTCCGTCGTCCTTAACTCGAATCAGTTGACATCTTTTAGCACAAACCTCAGATTGGATCTTTGCTATGGATTGTAAGCACTTCAATGTAGTCATAGCTTGCCGTCTCACGGCTCGCCCTCGAATTATCGCTTGAAGCCTCACAAACCCCTTCATTGCCCTCAATGCTTTCCTTGCCTATGCCAATTAGTCATACATCAAATGAGAACATAAACCAAATGGTCAAAACATACTATAAAATTTTCCAGTCTCGTCTTCAGATTAGAACACCGTAAACTCTGGAGGATTGGGGGTTATAACTTATAACAAACACTATATTTCTTCTATCGAATGCTAGTAAAAACATACCACAAAATTTTCCAGTGTCGTCTTCGGATTAGAACACCGTAAACACTGGAGGATCCGGGTTTATAACAAACACTAGATTTCTTCTATAGAATGCTAGTAAAAAAGAGAAAAAAGAGAGTTTAGAGTAGTTACCAAGTAACCGCGATAAACAGTTTGAATCTTGATTGCAGCTAAAGTTTGAAGATGAATTTCTTTCTCATTATTCGATTGAGTGATTTCTTCATCATTTGTGATAATCTCAGAGCCTTTTGGCAGCTCGTTTTCGCCTTCGAAACCGTCTTTGCTAACTTCATCTTCAAATTTACTCTGTTTTTCCTCTGTTTGATGCTCTGTTATTTGTGTAGATTTTGATTGTGTTGGAGTTGATACTGAAGGCAATGTTTTTGTCCTTTTTAATCTTCCAAATAACCATTTTCTTCTCTTGATCTTTGTTCATTTTTTTTTATAAATCCAAACAATAAATAAAGATAAAAATGAAAATTTATCAATACATAAAGTCATGAAAATAACTAAAACTGGACATCAAATTTGGAGGGATTTATTTTGAAAAATAATTAATTAAATAAAAAGAATAAAAGAATGTAGAATTCATTACCTTTTGTTGATGTTGTGTTTCAGGGAATAAAAGCCTTTTAATCAAACCCAACCAACTTCTCTTCTTAGACATTGTATGAGAAATGAACTTGTGTGATTTAGAATTTGATGAGGAATTTTACGTGATCTATACTAATTCAATCACTCGGATATATCAACACATGTAGTCTCACCTGTCTCTAAGACAGATACTTAAATATTGACTAAGACCATTTTTTATTATTAGCTCGATTAGTTTATAACAATATAAGTATATAAGTATCAGTATATGGATGGAATTTGTGTGATTTAGAATTTGATGAGGAATTTTACGTGATCTATTTTAGTTGGTTTAAGACTTTAAGTAACTGGAATGATACTTAAAAAGTAGACTCAATTACAAGTAATCCTTCATTACCAATTGGTTGTTGGTGTAGTGGTGATTGAGACTACACTTGGTAGGGATGACCCGTGTTCGATCTCCCGCAACAACAATTGGGAGGGAATTGGAACCTAACCACCCAGATATGATTCCCGAATCTGAATTAGCTCAAAGGGTGAACTAGGTAGAACACCAAAAAAAACATGTAATCCTTCATTCCCTCTATTTTAAATTAATTAATACGAATATATTTGTCATATTTGCTCATTAATAATTAATAGAATATATAAATAATGTAAAAAGTCAAATTGTGCCGAAGGTAAATAAAACAGAAAGTAGTGATAATACTAGCACTATTCCACTATCAGTATCAATATGCCCCATATGAACAAGAGTGTCAGAAACTCAGAACCGATGGTAATGGTAATTATGGCACTTTCCTCTCAAGGTATAGTTATTTATGTTTTTTGTTTAATAATATACAGAAAAATACTTGTACAGCTTCTTTCCCTAAAACATGGAGTTAAATAGTTGGTTAAGTAGTTTAGGAGAGTATCAAATTCAAGGGTTGCATTTAGTTGGTGAGTAGTTTTGTTTCAACATGTAGGGTAGGATATAAAGAATAAAGAGATTGTAAGTATCAATTTAATCAAAAGATAGGTATGGGCATATTATAAGCGACAAATTAAAATTAAAATTGAAATTGGGGAAATTTTATGAGATGGAGGAATTAGGCTATATTTAGTTCACCATATTTTGTTTAGCTGGATTATCTAAATCTATTTTTTTAATTTAATCTAAACTTATTTTATCTTATCTAATCTAATTTTATTGTTTGAATTGACTAAATCTTAACCTTATTACACTAATTCATACAAATATATATTAAGGGCATGTTTATTTATGCTTAATTTTAATTTAGTTTATTTCAATTCAGCTCCAATCAGTTAAGTTCAATTCAGTTCAGCTTCTAATTTTCTTCTCTCATCATAAACTAATTATTTCAGCTCTATTCAGCTAAGTTAAGTTCAGTTCAGCTCCAATAAGTTCAATTCAATTCGGTTTAGCTCGGTTCAGTAAATGCGAACAGACCCTAAATAATGTCTTGCTTATTAGATTTGTATTAATATGTATTTTTCAAATATATAATATTTATAAATTTTTTCTATCGTAAAATTGTAAGTATTAATGTATTATAGTGATAGAAATAAGTAAAGAATAAAACCTCACTTTAGACTTTGTTTGTGGGTTTCGTTACCTTACGTCTCCTCCATTCATTATACTTTTTTTTTTTTTTTGAGGGACATTATACTTATTTTATTGTGTTATAGTATACCGTAGTAAGAAGTCAAATTTGAACGTTGCTTTTTATATATAAATTACACTAACACAACCTATAACTTCGTAATTAAGGTTAAACTCATTTAATATTTACTATTTAATAAGTTCTCTAATTATGAAATATCTTGTTGTCTTGTTTAATTGGTTGGAATCAAAGAGATGCAAATCTTGCAACATTACATTATCAATAATAATGATAATAATCTTCAAAGTGGGTCACATGCCAAACTCTATAATACCATCATCCAATATTGATTAACCTATTTTAAAATGTGTATTAAATATTAATAAATCTAGCCCTTCTTTGTTACAAAGTCTGCAACTATCACTTTCTAATTTTGTCGCAACACATTCATAAATTACTAATTTATTAGATATCACATGCTACGTTTTTACTAAACTCGATCTCATGCATTCAATTATAACTAACGTTTTTCTCCTAGACTTTGTTGGTTAGAAGCTTGAATTTTGAAGCCATATTAGGTGGGCATAATCTAGGAATCAAAGGTAGCCTTAAGTTATTGTTAGGGTACAATTTGATAGAAAATGAAAGGTTGATATGGCCTCTTGAATTCTTGATCGATATGACTAAACATTTTTTGGTTCGCGATAAGACTATGCTTTGAAAATCCTTTAGCATCAACATACAACATCCAAATATGTCAATGTGATACACAGGACATGTTTATTTGCAGCAGTTTGATATTTGCCATTATTATATTATTCACACATATCTATCTGACTATCTTTACTGATTCTTTAGTGATTAATATGTAAAGCACTAAGTGATATCTTGTTAGATTTAATGTCTTAGCTTGATGCCTATTTTTATAACACAACATTAATTTTATTTTTTTTTATAATTCTTACTTAATCATAATTGATGATAATTATCGTATTTATGCATCGATAAACATGAAAATCAAACTGTTGCAATTAAAATGAAATGGAGGAAGGTGTCTTTATAGGGTAAAAATTTATGGAGTAGCAATTTTGCATAATATGGAAACAGAGAATTAATACATTAATCTATTGCAGTGAATACTAATATGTCAATTTTAGTGTCAAAGTTCAAATTGTGTTTTATCGACCATTCAGTTATATACTTCTTTTGTTCTTTTTTACTTGACCTATTTCTGTAATCACACTTGTCAATGTAAAACTTTAATTTAGCGGTTAATATGTTTAATTTTCCATAAGTAAAAAAATATATTAGTTATATATTATGATAGTACTTATAGAGACGAATTCAAAAAGATTCAACATCAATATGTTTCCTTACACATTATTCACAAAAGAAGGTCAAAGAAGGGCTAGAGGGGTGATAAATAGTGTAAAAGTTAAAACGGATCAAGTAAAAAAGAACGGAGAAAATATATTTTAAATCTTTGTATGCAGCATTGCAACAATAACAATCATTATATACTTTACAAAAGTTAATACTCCACTATATATATAAATAGTAAGATACAAAAGTTCAAATGTAGCAATAAAAAGATAGTTATATCATAACTACAATTTTCAAAGAAAGAAAGGTTGTGTGCAGTATTTTGGTAATGGACACTCAATATATATATCATGTTGATGGCCCTTGAGGTTAAAAAATCCAAGAAAAGCAGCTTTATATTCTCATCAAAAAACCAGATGGATGTATTATTGATTGGGAAGTGGGGAACTATGAACATGCAAGGTGTGAGAGAATGTTGGAGATCAGAAGAAAACAAGATACTCTCTATAATTTTCTTTATGTCAAGATGGAAGACAGGTGTTCAAGGGACCCGGTTCATGACTTACCAGTTACCACTAGTTGTTACTCTCAAATCTCATGCAATACCGTCAAATATGTACTCCCTCCGTTTTATATTGTTTTTCTGTTGATAAAATATGCGTTCTTTATATTTTATATTGTTTTTTTTTCTCCTCCATTAGTGTGTCTCGTAATATTTTTCTTATTACTAAGGATTTTGATGCACGCAATCATGTGATGTGGCTAGTCCTTTGTAATTAATTACAATCAGTCACAACCCTAATGTGTAATGTCTACTGCTTGTATGGTATGTTATTAAAACTATTTGCATAAAGGCAATAAATGTGTTAAATATTGTGTAATTGTGTAATGTTTGAAACATTAATAGAGTTATTTTAGATTTAGTAAGGAAGCAACACAAAATATCAATTTCTAGAAATGTATATATTTGATATATTTAAAGCATACTACTAATTGACTATTAAACTAAACAAAGAATCCCACAAAAATAGAGATAATAAAAGATACTCCCTTCGTCCTTAAATTACATTCCTACTTCTCTCTATTATGTGAGGAATAAATGATAGAAATAGAAATGTAATTTTGGGATGGAAGTAGTATATGGACCTTTGAATATAATGGAATGAATACATTTGAAAATAAAATTGATCAATTTAGTCTTAATTGAAGTTGCAATTTATTTTAAGGTTCACTACAAGACAAAAGGAAATAGTTTCTCAAACTTTTATTTAGGGGCAAATAAGTAAACTTATTTTTTTAGACATATAATTTTTTTTTTGACAAAAGAGCTATCAAATAAAAGGAACAACAACCAAAAACAATTGTCAACCCAAAAAAAACTAAAACAGAAAATACAACAACTGACGACGTCGGGCACAACCAGTCAACCAGTGAGCAGGATTGACCCACAAACGAGGAACCTTTTGAACCTGACAAACTAAAAAAGACTGAACAGAAGCCCGCAACTCCTGAATGAGCCACCAAGCAGAGATCTCCATTGAACCAGAAGGAGGAAGAAGAGCAAGGAGGGCAACACAATCTGTATAAATCCGGATTTTCAAAAAACCTTTACGAATCGCAAACTCCAAACCCCATATACAAGCCTGAAGCTCAGACTGCAACGCTGAACTAGCCATAAAAGCCCGACAACCACCTCCTAAGACCTCAGAAGAATCAAGATCACGGACTACCCATCCTGCACCCGCCCTGTTAGTAGAACAATCCCAGGCCCCGTCTACAATCAAACATGTCGTTGGAGAAATATAAGGTAACCCCCGCAAACACAACCACTTGACATCCTGCTTGGCCTCCAAACTAATCGAACGAAGGACCTCACAAGCCGCTTCCAATCTAGAGCATGCATATTACGAAGAACCCAATATGACGCCAGACCAACAATTGACCCAGGCGACCAAACAGCTTTCCTTAACCTCAAATGATTCCGAGAAATCCAAATCGCCCAAAGGAGAGCAAATAACGAAGCAATACCCTTCCAATTTCTCGAATACGAAAAGAAAGAAATTGTTCTCGAGAACCAAATACTAAATGGAGGAAACTGCATAAGATCCCATTGGATGTCCAACGCTCCAGACAGCCAAATAGTACAGATAGCAGGACAATCTCTGAATGTATGAGACACAGATTCCACATCCATATGACAAAAGGCACAAACTGGATCAACAGGGAGACCTCGAGAATTGAGAATAGACGCCAAAGGAAGCGCGTCGTATAGAAATTTCCATCCAAATATTTTCCACCTAGGAAGAATTGGTAAAGCCCAAAACTTCCTCCACCATGCTTGACAGATTTGAGATGGATTACCTAACCTGACCCCAGGCTCACA